CAGGGTCCTCTAGTTACAGGTAGTACAACATTGGTTTTATGCTGTTTCACACTGCACATTTAAAATAGTTTTTTAATAAGTCGTTACAAACTTTTAGAACTTGTCTGATTAGATTGGATTTTTTATGGTTGCTTGGCATTTATAGAAAGGAATATTGTTATTTATGATTTGATTACTATTTATTGTTCACTTTTAAGTGTTTGCTTTAATTAAGTAAAAGAGGTAAAAGGATGCCAAATTGATCGTGCATTCTTTCTGATGAACTGAAATATATAATTTTACTTTTTAAATTAGCCTTGTAGAGACAGCGAAGAGGAGGAAATAACGAGGAACCAGCAATGTGCAGCGTTTAACACAGGATATTTCAGATGGGCAGCTTTACATGTTGCGGACAACCTGGCTAGCTGCTCGCTAACATGTCGAGAACAAATTACCGGAATGATTAGACAAAAAGGACCAAAAGTTCTAGATGGCACGTTATGTGGTCCGAATATGTTGGACATTTGTATTAATGGAAAATGTGAGGTAGGCTATTTTTATTATTGTATATTATAGAAAATTATAATGTAGTGTAGTAAATTTACTATAAATATTGTTGATATTACATGATTTATTGGAAATACTAATTAAATAGTGAAAATTGTAGTTGTTAGATAGTTCAAATCGTTTACAAAATATTAAACTCCCATCAGGAAACGATTTAAGATAGGCCTACTGCCAGCCAAAAACAAAATGATAAAAAAACCAAGAAATTTAAATAAACCTTGACTTGCAAATTGAACATATCATATAATGCACTGAGTCACAGATAAGAAAAAAAAACCAGTTATCTATGATTTAAGACATTTTGCTATGAAAGTCTTTAACTTTGATAGCTGAACTTTAAGAACCATTATCAATTATTATCATTATTATTATCATTATAAGTGTAGGAGCATGTGGCGTAGCGTGTAAGTTGTTGGATTTCTGGTTGTGAGATCGGGAGTTCGAGATCGACGCTCGCCGCACTGCTTGTGTCCTTGGGCAAGACACTTTACTTACGTTTGTCTCTCCTCACCCAGGAGTATAAATGGGAGGGTCATGCTGTTAACCTACTCGTTGGTAATCCTGCTACGACTGTTCCAGTCAAATTAATAACAGCAACTAGATATCAATTGATATCATACAAGAAAAAAAAATCATTATAATTAGGCCTTTATTTTCATTTTCTATTTTTTCACTTATATCATAAATTCTAATATAAGAGCACCATATTACACTTATCCACACAGCAAGTTAATGATCGTAATTACCAATATTGAGCTGCTAAAAAGCTACTAGAAAACTAAAATATTTCCAAGTGTTATTTGTCTTGTTACCCCTTCCAAGAGAAACACAGCATGGTAAATTTTCATCAATCATCAGGCATCTAGGCTGTCCAAACACTCCTGTATTCCTCATGACCCAGTACTAGGTCTTTGCTAACCCCCTGGGTTTCTTGCCTCTGATTTGCAACAGTGGCCAATCTATTACCTATACCTGCCTCTAGGCTACGGGATAATGACTTTATGAGCTTGTCATGCATCCCATGATACTCGGCCTAGGCCGAAGGCGATGCATAGTTGATGCATAGTTTAAGTAGTTTTGGTCACTGCTAGTGAATTCGGTTGACCTTCAAATATGACAAACACTCTTCATATCCGACAATTTCCCTCATCAAGTTTCTACATCTTCATTATTTTCTTTCGATGAAATATATGTTATATAGATATAGAATTAATTTAATATTCTTCGAAATGTAAACTAACCTTTAAAGAAATGGAGTTCTTAAAATTTGAGGGTGAAATAGGAAATATATCACACACATTGTTTTCCATGGCAACAAGCTGATACAACAGGTGATAGGAAGCATAAAATTTTGTGGACCACAAAACATAAAATAACTGACCACACACCAACAGTTCAATTGTTGTTCTTAAAATGTAGAAAGGGCATTGACTTGGCCAAATTCCTGTTTAGATTATGCGAATCTGTTGGATAATTTTACATCATTACTAATAAACCCTGACTTGCTTGTGTTTCTTTGTGTTTTATTAATTCATAAGAGTGTACACAATAACAACCGGCCAACAAATTACAACTATCGAAACAGGTCACGCCTGCAATACAGGAACACAGTAACATAAAATTAAGAATAGAATACATAAACACATGCTTAATTAATTTATTAATTCAAGGAAACTATTAATTCATATTTAGAACTTGAATTTTTGAAATCTGTAATAGGCCCTATTAAAAACATTATTAATTTATCACCCTATCTGGGCAGGAAAAGTGATGAGGGAGGGAAGCTTTTTTTTTAATTTTTTTTATTTTGCTAAAGCCAAATATTACCCTTGGGTTGTTTGCTGGTGCATTGATATTCAAAGTAAAACATGATTTAGATAAAGCAAACAATATTTACTTAACTATTTCATAAAATGAATGAAAAAAATAAATAAAATTTAAAAAAAAAAATTTTTTTTATTTTTTATTTTTTTCAGAAATTTTCCAGTACCATAGAATACCATGGAAGGCATGCGCGTGAGGGTGATAAACTAATACAAAATTTTTTTGGGCCTTAGTTATAAAATGAGAATGCTAAACATGATTATACTTATTGAAATGTAATGGTGTGTGTAATTTTAAAGTAATTTATAAATTAACTTTTATTGAAAGAGTACTGATGTCCCACAATCCACATCTAGATGTGTACCCCCCCTTGAAATGAAAAAGGAAGAGGAAACTTCCATTATAAAGTTACCTTAACCTAAATGTTTAGGTCTTCCAGTTAATTCTGTCCTTCTGTTTGAAGATGTGTTTCCCCTTAAAGCTTACTAATGATATTTATTTATTATTATTCTCTTTCCTTAATGACACATTCAATCTCATAATATCCATGCTCAACATGCCAAAAAAAACAAACATTCTTGAAGTGTATGACTATGACATTCCTTAAAACTCTTGTAACTTCTAAAACTTTATCTGAACTTGAGGGCGCTATAACAAAACTTGTCAACACATTTAGTTGGGGCTTTGATCAATAATATAGCATCCCTTAGTTGAGTCTGAAAAAGTAGACTTAAATTTATCGTCCTTTTGCTTTCTTCAGCATATTTGTATTTTTAAATAATAAATTACCCTTGCTACAAGTACTTGAAATTTTCTTCAATGAGGTTTGTAAGTTTGTTAATGCCTTTTTTGTGTGTTTAGCCGGTAGGCTGTGATGGCCAATTAAAATCAACTGCTAAGCTTGATCGTTGTGGAGTGTGCAATGGTGATGGCCAATCTTGCAAATTAATCAGAGGTGCACCCTTCAAATTAAGGAGTGGTAAAAGTCAAGGTACATTATGATTCATATACCTTGTATTTTCTACTGTAGTTGATTTGAATTAGAACATTTTTTGATGACACTCTTTAGCTTCTGTTTATTCTTCCTCTGTCCATGGAGGTATCTGCTCTGTCACTAGTGTTTTTTTTTTATTGTATATTTTCTTTGTCAAATAATAATAAATGACAATTTTTATATGGTGTAGCGCCAGTGTCAAGCATGAGAGTGGTGCTCAAATAAAAGAGGTTGTGTCACTTGGTGCAATTCAGTCTATGAGTGAAATATGAAAAAACATCTTCAATAATGATATTATGTTTATTTTTATGTTAAATTATTATCTCTTTTAAAACAATTCTATTTACTTTTTTATATTTCAAAATCAAATGAATTACCTTGCTATAATTTTTTTCTCAGGCAAATGTTTTTTGAAATAACAAAAATAAATTTCATATTATAATTTCATAATTAAATAAATTTCTTATTATAATTTCATAAGTAGAGTGTTATTCATTTCATGTGTTTCTTCTTTCTCAAACAGGAACAGATGTTGTGTATACATTTCCCCAAGGATCTACAAATATAATGATTAGATACCGTGGAAGTAACTACATTGGTATTAGAGGAACAACCCTGGGTTCTGAACGGGGTGGACTCAACCAATTCCCTCCTGCTAGTCGAGCAGGCACCTACATAATATCAGGGACAAGAGTGAGATACACAACCGAAAGGAGGGGGAAAAAACAAATCACAATACAGGGTCCACTTCAGTCAGAGATACAGTTAACGGTAAGTTGAATAAGGGAATATATTATCCATGCCAGAATCTGTGGTCAGTCTACATGCCTACCTGTATTTTGTATACCTTCTAATTACACCTCAGTGATATTTTTCTGGGTCACATATAATTGTGTTCCTGCGAACATGTGTTCCAATACCTGCAAGATACCTGAAATACATATTTCAGTGAAATTCATGTGGTCAGTTACAATTAGTCCTAAATATATACAGTATATCAGAGAAAAGCTTTGCTTACTGTGTATGTGCTGAACTGTGCTGTATTCTTCTACTCTAGTTCAATTCCAATCATTGTTCTCCTTGTATTTCTGCTAAAGAGCTAAAATACAAGTTACGATAGAGCACTTTTTTCAGATGAGATGTAGCACTTGGTCTTAAGTCCAATATGGCCCATGTGCACATTAATAAATACAATGCACTTTCCAAAAAGAGTAGAAGATTGTCTCCCGGTGTACTGCCCAATCATCACCAGAAGGACCCCACTGGAAATAAGTTTTCTGACTTTGGGTTATCTATCGTTGGTATGTTTTAAACCAAAATATTCTCATACTCATATCTATGAGTAGTGATGTGTCTGTGGAATATTTGTTGTCTTTACTTGTGAGATGCTAGTGGTCAGTACAGAAGATTTGATATGAGAATGCCCATAAATTGTCTGTGAGATAACTGGTCTTATACCTGTGAGGTCAGGTGTTCCATATTATCTGTGAGGTAACTGGTCTTACACCTGTGAGGTCAGGTGTTCCATAATATTTGTGAGATATCTGCTTATATAACTCTGAGATTCTTTCTCTTATGAAGGTTTATGAGATCATTTTCCCAGGATTTAAATTAAACAAAAATTGTTATGTAAAGTGTAGATCTATTTGAATGTTGACATTAATATTGTACTTTTGTGTTAGGTCATGTATGTCACCCCAGCAACTGAGTTAGAGTACATTTACTACAACTTCACAGCAGGCTATATTTGGAAATGGCTGGGCTGGTCAGATTGCTCAGTATCCTGCAATGGAGGTAAGTCATTTGTAAACAAGTCTGCAAATTCTCATTCCTTTTTCTAATATATGACTAATCATCCATCAATTATATTTTTACCTACAGTATGGCTGTTTAAAACATACTGCCTGTGTGCATTTATTTGATGATTAATCATAGATATTGTTTGTGTTCAGCTAATAAGCTTGAGTAATATCAGTAATTATTTTACTCTGGTATACTGTAGCTTTAAGTTTTTTTAAATTTTTTTTAAAGTTATTTGCTTTAAATTGAAAATTAGAACAACAAAATATATTTCTTACCAGTCTCCAGTTACATAGAAAATTATGTTAATATATTCTTTGTATAGCTTTTTGGATTTTATTACAGGTGGTATAATATTTTTATTCACTACAACTCAACAGTAGTGCAGAAGTACAGTACATGCCCTTAAGCTTCATAATCAAACTTATGCACTTGTCAATTGTAGTCCCAGTCCCCCCAGACCCAGGCCATAGCGGGGCACTAGCCGGGACTGAGCACGGGATGTACACATAGTTGTGTCTCCGTAGTGCCGGGACGTACCTAAAAATTACCTGTCTGTAGATGTAACATGCCTCAGAAGGGCCGAGAATTTTACATGTTTTAGTAGCCGCGGTTTCGGGTTCGTAGGCCTAGGCCTAGTGCTGTCAAACCGGGTCTGGTCCGTAGCTAGCCTACACTAGGCTTAGGCATTCAGTCAGCAACTACAGTGTTTTGGTAATTAAAAAAATGCCTACCGGTACTTTAGGCCTACCATCATATTTTCATTTATTTTTGATAGATCACGGTATAAATTAGGCTACATATTAAAATTTGAACCTCCAACCACACGGCGCCGAGGACCTAGGTGTGTTGCATGAAAATTTGTGAACCACTGCCTGAATTTGACTTAGTTTACGTAAAAAATACACCAGTAGGTACATGAGCCAAGGCAAGGAATTCTGTTTCCAATACATGTTTTTATTTTCTTATTTTGGCCTAATTTTTGTTTTGATATTGAATAATTACATTCTGTCAATCAGTTAAATCAGTCAATTAATTCCTTTTTCTATGATCAAACTGTCAATACACTCCTTTTTTCGCACTTTTCCAAACTTCCATGGAAATCTGCTTAGTGATAGGCATGCGTAGTGCTTCCAGCAAGCTTATCTCCTTGGCCTAGCTCTCACATGCTTCTCCGATTCAGACCTAGGCTAGGCCTACAAGTAGGTCTTATCATCCAATCATTTATTAGCGGGGCATTTTAGCGGGACTATGGCGGTAAGTGGTGGGGACTTAGCCGGGGATGTACGTTAAAACGATGTCCCACATTGCCGGGAGGTGGCCGGGACGTTCACATGCATGTAACCGTTGTGGAAATTACATCCCCGGCTAAGTCCCTGCTAGGCCCGGTTCCGGGTGGGGGTAGGGGGCCGGGACTACAATTGACAAGTGCATTATTTAAGAGCATCTTACTGTTACTTTCCGTTGTGCAGTTAGTAAGTCTCGCTGTTGGATGCAAATGATATAAAAATAATAAACCCTCAAGCTACCAGACTACTCAAGGATAAGCAGTTAATCCATATCTGATCATTTTATTCCTGTTTTATTACGCTTAAAGCAATTGAAAATTAGACGCCGAAGTTGTCAGGGTAAACACTGTTGATGTTTTAATTCAATCATACAGCATTTTGACAAATTGAATCGCAGGGTATTCCTTTGCCTGGTGTATGCTCCAGTTCCCCCGGCCTTGACACATTTCCCTTGAGAATGCAGATGCTTTAAAATTTTTTTTTTATATCAAGGGTAGTTTCCAATTTCTGATCGCTTAATTGGAAACATGTCTAAGCCATATGGTCGGCTTGTGCTTGCAATCTGTTCCATTTGGAATGGTTAGGGAATCATTTGTATGTACTTGACTATGTATCTATTAATATTGACTGAAATAGAGATTATATTATTGAGATTGGCTGATTTTTGGAAGGTCTACATTTTTCTGAAACAAAATACATTTAAATTAGTAAATAAATTAATACTAATAATATAAATGTGCTTTACAAACTTAATTAATAGAGTCTGATAATAATTTTTTTTTTTTTATTAGGCCCTATAAAAAATATTATTAGTTTATCACCCTATCTGGGCAGGAAAAGTGATAAGGGAGGGAGGTTTTTTTTTTTTATTTTTTATTTTGCTAAAGCCAAATGTCACCCTTGGGTTGTTTGCTGGTGCATTGATATTCAAAGTAAAACATGATTTAGATAATGCAAACAATATCTACTAACTATTTAATAAAATAAATTTAAAAAAAAAATTTTTTTTAAACAAATTTTCTTTTTTTCCAGTACCATAAAAGACATGCGCGCGAGGGTGATAAACTAATAATTTTTTTTATTGGGCCTTATTAGGGTAAAGTTTGCTTTTTGCATATCCAGCTTTTAGAGAAATAACCCCAGGCCATTTAAATACAGTTGTTGTGTGTGAAAACAGAATCCATTTGTCATCTTCATGATGCTGCTGTTTTAATAACAGGAAAACAGTATTGAGGATCTTCACAATACACTGAGATAGATGTGTTGTGCTGGGAGAGATTTGGAAATATATTCCCATTGCTGATGGATAACCTTTTTGAATGGTAGTTCAAAATAACATAATAAATCTCTTCCATTCACTGTAAAATTCAGTGCCAAATGTAAATCCATTCTTTGATATTACAATCAGAAATTACTTAAATGAAATTGCATGTGCCGTTTGGAGACCTACCATGCTTTATCGACTCAGTGGACTAAAGGTGAAAACTGATTCTTTTTGCCACCCATGATCATAGCTACAACTGTTGATGTTGAGAGATCTAGTTTTTCTACTTTGATTTAATCTACATGTGCTTAGTATAATATCTAAAATAGAATAACATTTCAAGACAGTGACTAAAAATATAACTGAATTTCTACTTTGATTTAAGCTGCATGGTCAGTTAGATAAGAAAGATAAACATAGTGGCATGGTGGCTAAGAATGACAGTGAAATTCACTGTACAGTCTGCCGCTTCATCTTTACTACAGATTTGGTTGTTATCCTAGAATCTGGATTCTAATTTATGAAGGCTAACTCAGACTAAAACAAATATGTATTAGTATGTCACACAAACTGATACATATAGGTCTGTAGCTATCACTCCATCCAAAACTGAAAAGCAAAGTAAGTAATTGCTCAGATGGAAGACAAGTTTGTGATGATGATGATGACACAAACAATCAGAACATGTTTCTAATAATGTATACCTAATGTCTACTAAGTACATTTTCCCAATTAGTAACAGATCTTTGATGATTGAAAAAATGCTAATAGAAAGAAATCTTGCTTTTTGCTGTGTATTCTGTAAAAGATTTCATTTATTTTATATTTATCCTTTAGAATCAAAAAGAATTCATATTCCTTTTTTTTTAAATAAAACATTTATGAAAATGTTAGATGTGATTTTGTTTGAGAAGAGAAACTAATAGATGCAATTTTAACCTGGTTACCATAGCATCATATACCAGTACGTGATTGGGTGCTTAAATCTAAACTTTTCTTGGAATGATCCATTTATTATTCAGGGGTGTGATGAAAAGATAAAATCCCAACAATGGTTATTCATGCATAGATTAATTGTCTTTTTTGTTATCGGAGTATCATCCCTGTCAACCTATAACAATAAGCTTGAGAAATAAGGTATTGAAAATATGTAATATCGAAACCAATGTCATGAAAATGATTTAAAAAAACCTTTTTTTAAAATCAATATCTCCAAGATATTGTTTGCTATTAATGAGGGGTGCTTACATACATAAATTTAGAAATCCCTCTGGCCCCATGTTTAGCCAAGTATGTTGTCTGGTAGTCTGTACCTCGGCACAAATACACCTTGTCTAGCTCAGCAAGAGAGAACTTTATAATCATCTTTACCAGAAACAGAGATTTTAAAAAATATTTAAACCTGAAAGTAGATATATCTTGAGTTAGTGATGAACATGTGGTATGCTTTGGTGCTGTTTTTTGTGGCACCGGTGTTTACAAGAACCATTGTGGAACCATCAATAGGAAAGTGGGTAGCAACAAAAGAGCTTGGTAAGGCAACAAATTCATATTATGTTCTTTGGAACATTAGTCTTATTTTGTATTAGCATATAATTTACATACTCATTGTATGCTATGAATAATACCATGATGTATTTAGATAATAGAAAGTTTTCTTGGTAGTTTTGTAATTACGTTTTGAAGCTGGTGGAGGCCAACTAGAAGAGGGTTTGTTACCATATTTGTTTGGGCAACTTTTTGGAGGGATTTAGGATTATTTGCTTTATTTAATTCAATTCATTGTATAACTGTATTTAAAAATCAAAAACAAAAAAAAACAACATTATATACATACATATACATAAAATATTAGATACTGTACTTCCATTTGGATTAAAATTGTTTAAAAAGCTTAGAAGCCACACAATACAAAATACATACAATACATATTACTGAAAGTTAAATAATAATAATACTTTCCAACTCCCTGATTTTTTTTGTTAAATTTATTGACAATTAACAATTTATTATTATTATTTATTATATATTTATTAACAATTATTTGTATATAATAATAATGTTTCCTTAATGAATATTATATTATATTATTATTGTTATTATTATTATTTATTATTATTATTATTATTATTATTATTATTGTTATTATTATTATTATTATAGCCATTTGACAACTTCAACTTTGTTTCCAAGGTTGTACAGATCTAAAGCCTTTCATCAGAGGCATATGGTCCTCGGTAGAAGTTAATGACAAATCTACCCAGCTTGACAGCAACACGATCACGACATGTGCTTAGCACATTACATCTTAACCTTAAATTATTAAATATTTCATTGTATTGATTATTTTTATTTATTTATTTATTCAGGTATAAACACCAAACTAAACAGCAGGCAATGGCTGAATACGTTTGGTTACAATACTCAAATATTCAGTGGCGGATTCAAAGGGGCCAGCCAGCCCAGGTCCATTCTAATTTTTTTCAAAATTATAAAAAAAATAGAGAAAGAAAGAACATAAGTCTTGCCATCTAGAAGTGCCATAATAAAAAAATTTGTTACCTCATCCTCAACCATGCTGGGGCTGAATGGTCCAAACTTCTCTCTGGGTCCCCTCTAATTTGAATTCCTGGATCCGCTATTGGTATTATCATTATTGTTGTTATCAATAATTTATTAAGATTGAAATGCCTCTAAATAGGCAACTAAAGTTTTGCACTCTAAAAATATTGGATTTGTATAACACTAGATTGTTATCTTTGTACTGTATTATTATTGCCAAATATGATTATATAATATACAGATACAAATAATATTAAACCTTGTAGAAAATAATATAGTATTGTTGTTATAGGCATAGGCCTACTACAATAATTCTATACCATCTTTGATGGGAATAGGATAATGTACCTCATTATTTTTTTAATGCTATAATAGGCATCATGCTTTGGTGCCTGCTATGTTGATTGAAATAGACATCTAATACAAGATCTTGTTTCTTGGAAATATATTTGAATGCATATGTTACCCTGGATACATGGTCCAAGGTAACATATATGAATATTTATTTTCTGTGTAAAATTTGTATGTGCTAACTGCTAGCATGTAATTAAAGTCATTTGTTAATTTGGTGTCAACATGATTTTCAGAACTAATCCGGAAGTAAGAAGTCATATGAATTATCCAATCAGCCAATATGCTCCATTTTATTTGCAGAACCTTTTATGACTAACAATGATTAAAGAAATTTATACTGCTGCAACTAATCTAAAATGCTAATTAGTGAAAAATATGTCTGTTTTGTCCACTAAAACTAGATGATAAATAGGCCTAAATAAAGCAAACAGGACATAAGCACCAATGGGTTTGTAATGCCATAACCTGCTCTGAAATTATTGTATGTTCATATGTCATTGTATGTATGGAAATTTGAAAATAAAACATTAGCCTGCTCTTTGTAGGCATCTGTGTGTAAAGTTTCAGTTCCTTCGGTTTCAGAGCAAAAGAGGTATCAATTTTAGTTTATTTGAGAGCTCTTGATAGAATCCATCATTTCTAAAGTTCACACAAGAGTACAGGAGGTCCAAGTTTCTTTGACTTATTGCAGTATGCTTTTATTTATGAATGGCTGTGAAGGAAGTTCTTTGATTTTCAGTCAGAAGTACATGGCCAATTGGGCATCAAGTTCACACACTATTATCTATAATTCTTGATTTCTCAGAAGAGGTCTTAACAAGATCCTTCATTGAGTGGCAGTTGAAAATCATTCTCATAGAGTCATCATACACATTAAAAAAAATAACTGTTTTTATATTTTAGTTGTATATGCATTTTTTCTATATATATGGACAATAATAATGATACTGAATATAAAATAATAATTTTCAAAAACACCACAACAGATTGTATCTTAATTCAGTATTTTATGGCTTTAACGGCCCCCAACAAGACATGTTTCAGCAGTGCTACTACCATCGTTAGTTATCGTATTGCAAGCAGGCAATCTTTAGTATAAGGGATTAAAAAATTCAATGTTTTGCATGCTAAAAAGTTGTGGAATGAACCGTAACAATACTACAAAACATAATATAAATAAAGATGAGGTAAAATAATATTTATAATTAAGATTTATTAAATTTTATTTTTAAAGTTTTTTTAGGTATTATATCTTTAATAATAATATAATTATTTAATAATTATAATTATAATGGTTTTTGTGCATAATGTTCTAAACATTTGATTAAAAACATATAACACCCGATATATACTGTAGCTTGTTTGTATGTCCATCATTTATTTTATATAAGCGCATTTTAGCTTTGGGATGTTTTATTTATTTTTTTCTAAAAATGTGATGAATGAAAAGAAAGTACTTGCTCTAGGGAAAATCTTAAACCAAGATCTTTGATTGACAAGTTTCTTGTGAGCAAGGTATGCATTGCATGGTATGTGGCAATTAGCATGTGTTAACACATACAAAAAACTAAATTTATGCAAACACCAACTTTCATTGGTAATTGTTATGGTCTTAATCCTGTTAACTAAAGAAGGTAATGATTTATTATGTAGCTATACAAATTCTGCTTTATCCCCCAAAATCCACTTATTAATCAAATTATCCGTTGTTGCCATGTTTAGTTAACTGATGCAGAGCAATTTTCCACCTTGATAACTTTACAATGTTTGCATTTCTCCCATAACAAAAAAAATTGAAAGATGATGAAAGTGTACATTTTACGACCATGTTAGCTAGAGTGGGTGAAGGGGCAGTACCAGTATTATAGATAAAAATTAACAGCTGCCCCAGTCCCTTCTGAATTTTGGGAAACTTACCACCAGAGAAAAAGAACAAAGCAGAGATAGTCCTGCGATTTGTATGCTTGCTATCCATGCATGAAATTGTTTGCTTCTAACCATAAAATGACTGAATGCTGAAGCAAAAACCTCCCACAAAGAAAATTAAGAACATTAAACGTGCTTCTCAAAGTCAACCTTTGTGGAATACAACCTCGTTTTGTAAAAGATATCTTTGAAGATTTGTTACTTGTGTCTTGAACTTTAAACTGAAATTCCAGATTCATGTTTACATTTTGACCAGTGAATGTATTAAAAATAAGATATCCACTGTATTAGACTGAGAGTGACCAATCACAGAATGGAATGATGAGGATATTTACATTGTTCATGGCATTGAAGAATGAAATCTGACTTGAATTGTGTGAATGACACTTTTAAACCAGGAAACTTATGAAGTCTCCCTAGAGATATAATATTAAAGTTTCAACATCATAAATCAAAAGCTAAAAGAGATCTCAACAAATGTGGTTACAATATAATGGTTGAAGAAATATTTGGTATGAAAATGTCTTGAATCGGATCATTGTCTCCATTTTTAACTGCCAAACAGTATTATTCCTTGTTAAGCTTCATTGGTTGTTCAAATTACTGGTAATTATTTGTGGAATAGTTGAATAGAAATTGATGGTTATGCAGATGTTTTTCAGGTGAACAGGAAGATGGGGAAGGGGGTCTTGGTGAAAAAAAAGGCAAAAAAAAAACCTATGATGTCAAGTTCCCAGACAGACCTGAGAGGCTCCAATGCTGAGCAAAAATATTTGATTTAATCTTTCCTCTGAACTAATTATTACATTCTTCAAACTGAAGAACCCCTCTTTATATTTCCAACATTGTAGTGAATAACATAAAATATATTTGATGATTTTTCTCCTGTTTTTTTAGGCAAGAAGTCAACAATAATCAGCTGTGTTAGTGTGGAGACAGGAGAAGTGTTAGAGGACAGCTTCTGTGATCAAAGTAAGCGACCATCGGAACATGTTGAATCCTGCAATAATCATGTGTGCCCACCAAGGTAAGATCATGTAGAGAAGGAAGATTATGAAAAGCAGTAATAAAAGAGGAAGAAGAAGGTGTAAGACACTGTAACTTACCATGTAATGGTCTAAATTTACTACATACCTAAATCAAATTTTGATTCTTTATTTACAGTACTTAAATTACGTTTCATAATATGCATTATACAATTTTAATGCTGTCTCAATATTGTTTTGTGTCATGAAACATATAGGAGTGATGTTTTGCCCTACCAAGTGATACAACATATATTAGATGATACATAATTGATGATTCATAAGGTGGAGCCATTAAACAATTATTTGATAAGGAATTAGACATTTGAAGGTTTCATTACATTTAAAACATGCTCATGATTGTTTGAACAGGAATTATGGAAGATTGAGTATGACAGACTTGGTGGCAAAGGTAGACAAAATGGAGAATACAAGGTTGCAAAGGAATAAATATATACTGTCAGGTTTTGAAGAGAAGAGCAAATTTTAACGAGCATAAAAGATGGCATTCTGGGTAATAATGCCAATGTCATGGAAAATGAAAACAAAAAACAAGCCTCAAGAGTAGGGTGATGAAACAATAGTGTTCATCTTCTTCCCCATAGTAATTTATATATTATCCATAATTGCAAAAAGCAGTTATTTTAATGGGCCAAGACCTAACCCTCTCTGTATCACCTTTGATTTCCAGGTGGCATGCAAATCCATGGACTGATTGCTCAACCAGCTGTGGCCAAGGTGTTCAGCAGCGTATTGTCACCTGTGCCCAGGATTTTCCAAATGGCAGAACTGTCTCAAAGGTGTTCCAGGCATGCCAGGGACCCAGACCTCCATCACAGAGGATATGTAACCTACAACCTTGTCCCCACTGGTTGACAGGAAACTGGTCTGAGGTAAGGATAACATTCAATTAAATCTCATGTTCCGTCCAGATTACCTAATTTTCTTTGACAAAAAACTGTTGTATGCCCATATAATATCAATCAATCAATGGATTTATAAAGCGCATAATACAGCAGTCTCTATGCGCCAATAAAAGAAAGACCAATGAAAGTGAAGCATGCAGTGGGTGCGAGACCAGGTGCCGTTAGGGAAGAGTCGGTGTGCTGTTCTTCCACACTTTGAGCCAAAATAGCCGAGCGGTTAAGGCAAGGGCACAGGTCCGCGGCCGGCTCGCTTCTATAGTTCTGGTGGTGGAACAAGTCTTCTGGGATAAGGACTATAAACCGTAGGTCCAGTGTACACAAAAGACATGAAGTGACCCTCAGGGGAGGAGAAAATTATTGAAAAGTGCAACATATAGTCCCGAGCGCATAGAGACCTCGTTTATATCCATCTATTATTATTATTATTTGAGGGTTAGCCGACCAACCCCGCGGAAACATAATTCACAGGATCACCGTGCCAACCCATTCCCTGACAACACCTGGAAACGACCCACTCATGTAATGTCATCATCACTATATTTAGGCATGTCATATATTTTAGTCAAATAAAATGTAATAATCTGGACGCAGAGTTTTACAGTTATTTATTTGCTGTGTAAAGGTTTCTTGATTGGTTAATTATTTATTTGCTGTGTAAAGGTGTCTTGATTAGTTATTTATTTGCTGTGTAAAGGTTTCTTGATTGGTTAATACCATTAAACATTCTTATATTAAATCCAATGTCCCTAACCCTCTAAGATGTTTGCTAGAAAACAACTAAGAGAATATTCTTAGTTTGGTCTAATGCAAATTTCCATTAGTAATTATTATTATTAGAAATAACTGTGCACATTTATATTGGTCTTCTGAAAGTGACATTAGGGCATTAGGCATGAATTTAGTTATAGTATAGGAAATTATGGCATTCTTTCAACCAACTGCTTCAAATTTTCATTCCAACTGCTGATTGCATTGCTTCCTTGTCCTTGGGAAGGTAATTCAACAGAAGGACGAACATCTCCGCTCTTGAACATAGCGTGTGTGTACAGTCCTTTGATCTTTACTGTGGCATCGACAACCCGATACTAGTTGCGAGTACAGACGTCAATTATTAGTCTATGCGTGCCATTCGGGTACTTCACAATGTCTGTTACATCTGATTTTTTTTTACCGCAAGCTTGTTAAATGCTTCTATAAACTGCAATTTGATTTGTGAAAATTGACCAAGAAAATGAAAAGTTATAGCAATTTAAAATTTACGAATTTTATAAAATTTCATGTTCTTATGTAACATTAATCTGTCATTTTGACAAC